CTTTCTCTCCACAACTCCATTTTGTTGTGGAGTATGTACACAAGTGGTTTGGTGAACAATTCCTTGTGATTGAAAAAATTCTGATTGTGTCTTGCCACTCCCTAACTCAAAAGCATTGTCTGTTCTAACAATTTGCACCTTTGTTTGAAATTGTCTTTCTACCATAACTAAATAGGACTTGAGAACTGCAAATGCATTGGATTTGGTACTTAACAAGTAAGTCCAAGTACCTTTAGTAAAATCATCCACAATGGTAAGGAAATAGGTAAAATTATCATAAGTAGGGGTGTTATAAGGTCCCCAGGTATCCACATGTATCATTTCAAAAGCTTTCTTGGTTGATATAGAACTTGTGGGAAAAGGAAGCTTAGATTGTCTTGCCAAAGGGCAAATAGCACAAGGACTAGAGAAAGTAGAACAAAAAGGAATGCAATCTGATGAAATTTTCTTCATATTACTCAAAGGTAAGTGGCCTAATCTATAGTGCCATAACTTCTCTCTTACATTTGGATCAGAAAAGACAAAACAGGAATTAAAAACAACATTGGAATGTGCATTCCTTTAAGAAATAGAAAAACTACTACACTTAGATAGATTCCTAGAGGCAGCTGTTGAGTGACTAGATCTGAGAATGTAGAGCCCTCCCTCTTCTTTACCAATCTCCATAGGGCTCTTCAGTGAAGGGCCCTGCAACAGAATACAAGAATTAGGAGTGAATAAGACATACTTCTGGAGTTGTTTGCACAATTTATGTACAGATAGAAGGTTATATCTGAAAGATGGTATATACAAAACATCATGTAACACCATATTGGGAAACAAAGAAACTGAACCTGAGTGTGTCACTTTAACTCTATAGGAATTTGGAAGCTTAACCATAAGGGGCTTAGGGACCATATCATATCATTGCAACGAGCCCAAGCTTTCTTCAGACCAGAATCTGCCTCAGGGACAACTAGGGAACCATCAATAAACCCTAGTTTGTTCTTAGCAGAAAGAGCAATCACAACAGCTCTCCTCCAACCTCCATAGGCTTTTCCATCAAAGACTGAAGAGACTAAGTTCATCCCTGGATAATCTGAGGGATGAAGGCAATAAGGGTGAGCTGAATCAACAATACCTGCTGCTGTGAGAGAGGCTGCAGGTGCTGTGACTCGTGTAGTGGAAGAAGAATTATCTGGGGTTTCAGTGGAACCCATTGCTGAGAGAATGAAGGAAGAAAAGGATAGAAATTATGTGATAGATTTGAGATGTTTAGGAGCAGATATGACCCTGCTCTGATACCATGCAGGAATGTAAAAACAAACGTTGGAAGAATTTCCTTTTCTGTATATGATTGAATGAATTTTGCTGTACAGGGATGATGTATAAATACAATAAAAAAAAACCTAGGGTAAAACAGAAGAGCCAAGTGGCATTCTCTAATTGACTACACTATAACTAACTTTTATTCTCTATAACTGAAAATAAGATAAATACAAAAGGTAAAATAATTACAATATCTGATCTTCTAGAAGAGTTGGACTTCTAGTTGTTTTTAGAGCGGCAGTCCAGTAATAAGCCCAAATAGAATAAGGCCCAGTAGAAACGAGGCCAAAGTCCAATTCTTCTCTGCAGATCAAAACATAGGTTATTCGGACAAAACAAAGCAAGGTCCTTAGAATCATCGAACACTTCGTCTTCTCTAAGTTGTCTCAGAAATTAGGGTAACATCAACAGACAATTGTAAGGAAGCCAAATATTAGAAAGACCAAGAGACAATAAAAATACTCTCTTTACAAAAACTGGCCCACCTTATGAAAGAAAATGGAAGAAAGAAGCAAGAGAAGTTGGCAAGAATTTATCCAAACCCGAGGCCAACGATAATGGCCTCTCTTCTGTATTAGCTAATATAACAGTTGAAATAGAAGGGAATAAGGATTTGGTAATGCAGGAGGTGACGTATCATGTTAGGCCACCAGAGGTTACAATCAAAGATCCAGATAGTAAGTGTATAGATAGAGGAATAATGAATTGTATTTCTCAGGGATGCAGTCCCTTGCAGGAGGTCTAGGGCCGCATAATCGGCCTCAAACTCTAGAAACTACCCAGGCGAGAAGTAAAGAGTGTGAAGGAAAATCATTGGTACACGAAAGAAACCCCAATAATGGTACTAACTTGGTTGATGAGTACCCACATTTTGAATCTGATTCAGAAGTAGAAGTGGAGGAAACTCACCTATCAAATGAAATTGAATCATCATCTGATAGTGAAATGCTTCATTTAACCAAGAGGAATAATTTTTTGGGAGACAACACTGGTAAAGTACTTTCTCAGGACCACCAAATGGTCACTGATCAAAACAATCTATCACCAAGAGGAGTAAACAGTGGATCTATTGTTTTGTCCAAAATGGGGTTACAAAATATTCATCATAGGCCTAACTCTCCTGAATTCCAACGATGAACACTTTTATCATGGAATATTAGGAGTGTTAGAACACAAAGTGCTTTTGAAAGGCTCAAGACTCTTAAAAATAAATACAATATCACTTTCATTTCCTTGCAAGAACCTTTTGCCGAAGCAGAGAAGATGAACACTTATATGAGGCACCTGGGTATGCAAGGTTGCTATGCTAATCTCAATAACAAGATTTGGATATTTTGGTCAAATGAGTTTGATATTGTTATTCTTGAAGACTCGGAACAACAAGTCACATGCAAAGCCTCCCACATTGGCTCCTCTAAGGTTTTTCATATCTCGATGGTATATGCTAAGTGCAAAGCTACCCTAAGGAGAGACCTATGGAGTGAGCTGTGCAATCTTTCCAATAGAATTATTGGTCCTTGGGCCATCATTGGAGATTTCAATGTCATAGCTGATTCTGAAGAGAAGTGTGGTGGTTCTCCTTATAGGATTGACAAAATCTTTGACTTCCTGCAATGCTTATCAAAATGTGGGATGCAAGATGCAGGTTTTGTGGGGAACAAATTCACTTGGTGCAATAATAGAGGGGCACCTGATACTATTTGGAAAAGGCTCGATAGAATGGTATTCGATTCTGAATGGTTTGACTTATATAATTGAACCGTTGTTAATCATTTAGCTAGTGCATGTTCTGATCATGTTCCTCTGTTAGCACAGTTTAAATCTACTTCTGACCAGTTTGTGAGGTATTTTAAATTCCTCAATTTCTGGACTAAACATGAAGGATTCATGGAAGTCATTAACAACATTTGGGATGATGAATGCTTTGGTAATCCCATGTGGAATCTGCACCATAAGCTAAAGTTAACTGCCTCCAAACTTAGCACATGGTCCAGAGAAACATTTGGAGATATCCATGAAGAGCATAAAAGACTAGAAAGTTAGTTGATTAGGCTTGAAGGTTTAATGATCTCTGATAATGATGTAGTTGGAAGGTCTAATCTCAATAAAACTAGAGCGGGTTATATAAGGTATCTTAAAATCCAAGATGCTATTCTTAGACAGAAAGCAAGAATGAAGTGGTTCACTGAAGGTGATTCTAACTCAGCTTACTTTCATAATGTCATTAAGAACAGGCGAAGGAGATTGAGCATCAACAAGATTCAGGATGAGAATTATCGATGGGTAGAAGGGACTAGAGAGGTATCTGAAGCCGCTATTAGATACTTTAAGGGTATTTTTTTTGTGAAGAGCCTGAAGTTAATAATTACTCAGACCTTCATGACATTGACCCCATGATCACAGAGGAGGTCAACAATGATTTGATTGCACTCCCAAATGAAGAGGAGATAAAGAATTGCGTCTTCTCCATGGATCCAGATAGTGCTCCTGGGCCTGATGGTTTTACTGCTAAATTTTTTCAAGTAGCTTGGACAAAAGTTTCACCTACCGTCACGATGGCATTGAAATCTATTTTCTGTGGGGCTAATCTTCCTAAGTGGTTTACCCACACCTGTATTGTTCTGTTACCCAAGGTTGCCTCACCAAATTCATCTTTAGAGCCAGTTCAGAAATTAAGGAGATTACTGGAATGGAGCATAAGGAGTTTCCTATAAAATATCTTGGTTGCCCCTTGTATGTTGGTAGGAAAAAATAGCCATCTTCTCTGAGTTGGTCACTGAAGTGTTGCAGAAAATTTCAGGTTGGCATGCCAAATTTTTATCCACTGGTGGTAGAGCTATGCTGATCAGACATGTTTGGTTAGCCCTTCCAGTCCATCTTTTAGCAGCCATTCACCCTCCTAAAGGAGTCTTGAACCAAATAGAAAGAATGTTGGCTAGGTTCTTTTGGGGAAAATCAGAAGAGAAGAAAAGATTTCATTGGGATTCATGGGACAAGCTTTGCATGCCATACTCTGAAGGAGGAGCTAATTTTAGGAAGTTGCAGGATACTTGTAACGCATTCACAGCAAAGCAATGGTGGAATTTAAGGACTACTGACTCTCTGTGGAAGAATTTCCTAATGGTCAAATATTTTCAGAGGTCACACCCTTTAATTAAGCAATGGTATTCTGGAAACTCACATTCCCGGAATGCTATGTGAAAGATTAAAAGGGAAGTAGATACGCACATATTATGGAAGATTGGCAAAGGAGACATTGCGTTTTGGTTTGACAATTGGACCAACTTAGGTCCATTGTGTAATTTTCTTCCAGAGGGTAGCAAACCGAGGAACATTATGCTCTCTGATGTTATAGTTAATGATCAGTGGTGGTGGGATGGTTGGGTTGTCTATTACCTGACCATGTTATGGCTACAATTGAAGCTATGCAGATTAGGTTGAGGCCCTTGGTTCAAGATACTCCTGTGTGGACTGCCAATGAGAAAGGAGCATTCTCCGTAGCCTCAGCTTGGAATATATTCAGGAAAGTATAAAGACAATCTTGGATTGATTCCAAGACATGGCAAAAGCAGGTGCCCTTCAAGATGTGTTTTACTGTATGGAGAGCATTGAGAGACAGATTGCCGACTGATGCTAGGGTTCTCAGGATGGGTCTATCTATCACTTCTCGGTGTTGTTGTTGCATAAATCCTGTAAATGAAACTATAGATCATCTTTTTTGTTCGAGATCCTTTGCACAGAATATATGGAGGATTATATGTGGTGTTAAGGGAATTCCCTTTACAGGGGTGTCTTTTCGAATGTTACTTGTCAATTGGTGGAAAGCAAAGACAAAGAATCCTGTTGAAGCATGCTTGATAAACTGTTTACCAATCGTCACAACATGGGAAATTTGGAAAGCTATATGTGGAGTTAAATATGGCTCTGAAAGACTCAATGTGAGGATGACCATGTCCCTTATTTGTTTCTCAATTTCATAGATAGTTAACACCCAGTTCCCAAAATTCAACACCAAGCCTATTAGGAGCAGCGTCTGCCATCTATTCAACATTAATATTGGATTCAAGAAGACCATCATTACCAAGTGGAACAAACCTCCAGCATTTTTTGTGAAATTAAACTCAGATGGAAGCTGTAAAAATGGTCTATGTGGAGGAGGAGGAGTTATGGACAATTTGGGATGCTTGATTGCTGCGTTCACTATTAATTTAGGCCCTGGAACTAGCAATTGGACAGAAGCACAGTCACTGTTGTTTGGCATCAAATGGTGTATTAACAATGGTTTACATTGTATCTTGGTAAAGACCGATTCAAAGCTATTAGTGGATTGCCTTAATGGGAACAATTGTGTCCCATGGAGAATTTCAGATGAGATTAATGAGCTTAGAAGTCTAAGGGAACAAACAATTTTTAATTTGAATCACTGCTTCAGGGAAAGCAACCAAGTTGCGGATAAATTAGCTTCTTTAAGCCATGAGTCTTTACAAAATCAACTCTTCCATAATTTTGATGAGGTACCAAGGCAGGTCAGAGGCATAATGAACATGGACAAATGGAGCTTACTTGCTTTTCGAGTTGTTGATAAAAGAACATATATTACCTTTGAGCCACCATGAGTTTTAGATTCATGAATAGAATGTTATATTTTATTTTTATTGGTATGTTTTTGTTAGGGTTGGAAACTTTATTTGATAACTCGTACAAACTAAAGTATCCAATACCCATGAGTTCTCTTCTACTCAACTCTCACAACATTGCATGTTCTATCTTTCATGTTAGATAAGGGTGTTTGTGGATTATACACTCCACCCTCAAACCAATGTACTCTGTTTGGATTGATGAATAGAAATGCAAGTTATCCAAAAAAAAAAAGTTTTCATAGTAAGTTGAAAATATAAACGGAAAAGGTCATATTAC